ACTCAGTGGTAAGTCACAGTACAGCTAGCTTTAGGCTCAGTGTACCCAATGTTGTTACTCAGTGGTAAGTCACAGTACAGCTAGCTTTAGGCTCAGTGTACCCAATGTTGTAACTCAGTGGTAAGTCACAGTACAGCTGACTTTAGGCTCAGTGTACCCAATGTTGTTACTCAGTGGTAAGTCACCATACAGATAGCTTTAGGCTAACAATGATAGGCCGACGCCATCGAGTGAGACAATGATTTAACCATGTTAACATTAGTGGAATTAAGACCTGTAAAACAATGACATTGAGAATGGTGAATATTTGTCAGCAGTGTGTGTCTACAAGCTCACCACAGTTTGGATTGTTATGTAAATGTTGGCACTTTACAGACTAGCACAGGCAGGAGCTATATGTATGTGTCAGCCTAGCTATGCACACTGGTGGGACATTATCTCTGACAGTTGCAGTATAACATCATTGTTGACCTCTATTGACCTCAAATGTGCATGTGACAACCCTTTGACCCCTAGGTAACTTGAGTAGATTCTACCATACATTCATCTAGATGAGTCCATTATGGTTTACAATGATGAAGGGGTTTACAGCTTAATCGTGATGAGATAATATTGGCACGTAACTGTCGACGGGGCACACCACCTAGCTCTCGAACACCGTCATATACCATGAAGATACTTCTGTTTAATTATATAAATATATTACCATTGTGTGACTGAAGTTATATCCATGTCATTGTCATTCAACATAATGAACTTTTGACGACTTTGCTTTTACTCTGTCCAATATAACAGACAACCTAGCGTGTGGTTGTATAAATATGTATCTGCAGTACGTAAGAGTTATTGAGACTTATGTATCTGTTTACAGGGATAATCTGGCCAGTAGAAGCTATGCCACAGTGGCTACGCTACATCAGTGTATGTCTACCTATGACATACGGAGCCGACGCCATGCGTGCCATTCTCAGTCGAGGTAGGTCTTCCTCCAATGTACTGGATTTTAATAAATGTATCAAAATCATATTGAACTTCATTGGACAGTTGCTGTTTGATATGGTGAACTACATCCTCAAAACTCAAGGGATCTCTGATATCTTCTCTGCACACCTGGGATATGTCGTGACAAAAGTGAGCTCTCTTTATATGCCACACCTTGTGGATTATACAAGCAGACTAGTCAGATGTCTTTGGTGAAGATCAAAGGAATAGCATGGGGATAGGTATCAGCTTAGTGATTGTTCAAGTTTTTATACCAGATACCACTCAAAGATCTAACTGCGAGTTGATTTTGTCATAACATGTTCCAGGGATGCTCAGAAGATACTTGTATCAAGAACAGAACCGTTTTATTTCGAGGATGGGGGACTTAAATCACATGTTTCAGGGATTTTTTTCTAATCGCTTTCCGTCCGTCATCGTTCGGCGTGCGTAATTTTTTCACATTTTCAACTTTTTCTCAAGAACCAGTGGATGGATTCTTTTCAAACTTGGTCAGAATCATCCTTGGTAGATGACGCTACAAAATTGTAAAATTGGGATTCCTACCCAAACCCCTGGGGCCAGGGTGGGGCCCGAAAGGGAAAATTAACCAAGATTTCAAAAATCTTCTTCTCCAGACTCAGAGGTACTACATTCAATTTCAGTGCATCAAAAGAAAGATCATCAGGGGCTTTATTTAAATTGTAAATTTCAGGACCCCCAAGCTATCCGTTCTCCCTTGGGGAGGGGGTAAAGTTTACTACAGTTTATACAGGGAAATAACACTTTTGGGTATATTTTATCCATTTTCAGCAGAAAATTACTCAAACTTAGTCAGAATCATCTTTGTTGAATGAGGGTATTACATTGTAAAATTAGGATTCCTGCCAGATCCTCAGGGGCTAGGGCGGGGCCCCAAAGGGAACATTTACCAATATTTTCAAATTCTTATCCTTTGATGACATGACAAGTATTGTATTTCACTTAGAGTACATGCTGATTTCCACATCACATCTAAACAATAAAATAAAGCTACCAGTACCTTTGATATAACTCAGGTGACCGCTAAGGCCCTTGGACCTCTTGTTATATTTTGAAAGTCACCTGTAAAATATTTTCCTTTTTAAACATCCATTTGATTTCTATTGCATCAATATACAAAATGGATTGCAATATGATAACTACCCTAGTTATACCAGCATTGAAGATGTTTGTTTTTGTGACAGGCTGGACCTTGACAGACCTTCCGGTGTGGCGTGGATACTTGGTTACCCTCGGCTGGGGATTCGGCTTGTTGGCTCTGGGTGGATTTATACTCCGACTAAGACAATAGTATTCACAGTTATACATTGTATTTCCATTGTGCAAAAATTAGAGAAATCCAGCTTTAACCCTTTGGTTGAACAATATGTTATTTGTTTTATTAAAGTGACAATTATTTTTCATTATTCCAAAGTCCATTTGAAATTTTAAATATATTTCATGTTTTTTACTCTACCTATTTACTTGGTTCTGTATGATTTGTATGACTTATCTATGTCTATACTGTAATTTGTATGTGGATATCTTTTAAAGTTTTTACATTGATTAAATTATGATATATATAAAATCTCATGACTTTAAACTACTAACGTCACAGTTCCGGAATTGGGACAGTACCCAAAATGGGACACTTGTGGGCAAAAAAACGGCCCAATTTAATCAGAACCCTCGTTGACTCTAAAATATATCAACTATGCATATTTTTCTGTTGTTTTTGATTATTTATCCACAAATATAAGCCAAAATACTAAAGCATCCCTTTCAAGGTACAGTAATGCCGGTTCAAGTGTCTACGTAACTCTGATAGTATTTTGTGATTATTTATAGAACCACGTTGCACGCACCCAAAATATCATTTTGTAATAGAAATGAAAAGTGGAATATATATATATTTATGAAAAATGAACAAACATTTTTGGAACTGATACTATGGTATAAAGTACATTGATATTTATCTAAAAAGTGTCCGTTCTGGGTACAGGGATGTTAACAATCTGTTCACTGGAGCTTGAACTCTATAAACATTACATGTCTAGATTGACCCTTGGTTATCCTTTATAAAATCATATAATCACCTAATCAACAATCTATTGTAACTCAGTAGTTTGCTCAAAATTATATTTTTTAACTGATACCTTTAGAAGTATGCAGTTTCTACCTTCAGCTGGAACAATGTTTGATTTGTTTCATTAGAAGTGATAATTCGGTTTTATTTGTCCCTGTTAACAAATTGTTATTCAATATTGATTTGACTGAATATTGTGATATTCTAGTGCGGTATACACAGTCAAAACATGCAGGCTAGAATAATCATTCCATTTATAAACCATTCCATTATATTATATTTATGATATAAGGTAGAGAGTTCCACATTTCTTTGTTGTTCCGTTGGAGGCGTGGTAGTCTAGTGGTAGGATGCCGGCCAAAGGGATGTGGGTTCGAGGCACGGCACTGTGTTGTATCTTTGAGCAAGATACTTTACTCCGCTTGTTCCAATCTACTCAGCTGTTGGGCAGAGCTAGAATTATTGAATGCTAGCTGTGAGCGTCGATATGGCAGCACCGGCTGTATGCTCCTCATGGTGTTGAGAAAGATATTGGCTGGTTGCAAAGGCCCTTTAACCAAGTATAATGATTTGTGAACCGCTTTGAGACGACCTACAAGCAAGGTTGTGATAAAGCGGTATATAAAAACCTCAAATTATCATTATTATTAATATTATTGTCTCTCCAACGATAAAGAGTTCCAATTTGTTTCAAATTTTTTCTGACTAAGTTTTGGAGTTGCTAGCCTATTTACAATAGCGAAGAGTTATATACACGAAAGAAATATGTTAACTATAATTTCCTTTTTCTTAAAAACATGTTGCTCCACCACTAATTAAGGTTTGATTCAAGAACCTTTTAGATATATAGCAAGGAGTTGATCCAGTGAAGGACTAGCCATGACATATTTTGTGTAAAAAGCATAATCTGGGAGAACATTACTGTTAATGTTTTCTAACTCCCTAAAAAGACCCACAATCTGTAACTTATAGGACTTAACATAGATTTATATAATATAAACTTTATTTATTTTACCACAATTATGAACAAATTATTTCAACTTATATCAATCCCCCTTGTTGGCCCGGATGTTAGCACGCGGGGGGGTCTTGATGTGTGAGAAAACCTAAGTACCCAGAGAAAATCCACTTAATCGGGCAGGTGACCCCATGCCTTTTCATGTCAGATCGGGGAATTGAACCCAGGTCGCCTTGGTGAAAGGCAAATGTGCTATCCACTGTGCCACCCGACCACCCATAACATTACATACATATACCGGGAAAAACATTTCATGGCCTGTATACAGTGGGAAATGGCTGAACTCTGAAAGGGCGTTATAAATTTGTCAGAACTTTTGCCCAATCCTTTTGATTGTTTTTGCAATAAAATATGTTTGAATGAATAAACTAACTTGCACATCCTAATGCCAAATGTCTGCGATCTTTGAGATTAATATTAGATATAAGATGCTTTTTACATAGTTGTATATTAGATATTATGTATACTTTATTGAATTAATATTTTTGTATGATGTCTTTCAGCCACCATATCATGTGTGTACAATTATCATTAAAATGAGATGAGACAAATACTTTTGATTGAAAATCAAACTTTATGATAGCATGTAGCAGTGACTGTTGTTATGTTTTTGCAGCTTTTCTAGCTACCGTCAGAGTTTGAGAAGGTCATGGCTATCTTCTGTCGAAGTCATTAACTTTAGTTGTGTCAATTTTTGAAGGGAAGAACAATAACAGTACCTAGATAACAAACCTACACTATTTGTTGTTAATTCTGCTGCTGACATACGTCACACGTTACAGATCATGACTAACTGCTGAAATGTTACTTAAGTTTTTAGCTTACCTTGCTAAAGGGCAAGTAGCTTATGCCGTTGAGCAGCGTCTGTCCGTCCGTCCGTCCGTCCGGCATCAATATTTTACTTTTAACAACTTCTTCTCAATAGCCAAAAGGCCTAGGGTGATCATATTGGGCATGTAGCGAGCTGGGATGAAGGGCTACCAAGTTTGTTCAAATGAATGACCTTGACCAACTTTCAAGGTCACAGGGGTCAAATGTCTTAAAATCTTCAAATTACTTCTTCTTAAATACCAAAAGGCCTAGGGTACTGAAATTGGGCCTGTTGCATACTGGGATGAAGGGCTACCAAGTTTGTTCAAATGAATAACCTTCACACACTTTGCAGCTCACATGGGTCAAATGTCTTAAAATTTTGAAACAACTTCTTCTGAATAACTAAGAGGCAGGGCTACCAAGTTTGTTCAAATAAATTACCTTGACCTATATTCAAGGTCACAGAGGTCAAATATGTTTTAAAACATTTAAACAACTTCTTCTGAAAAACCAACAGGTTTAAATTTGGCCAGTAACATACTGGGATGAAGGGCCACCAAGTTTGTTCAAATAAATGACCTTCATCCATGTTCAAGGTCACAGCGGTCAAATATGTTAAAATCTTTATACAACTTCTTCTGAATAACCAAGAGGCCTATGATGATACTATTTGACCAGTAACATGCTGGGATGAAGGGCTACCAAGTATGTTCAACTAAATGACATTGACCAACCTATATTCAAGGTTACAGAGGTCAAATATGTTTTAAAACATTTAAACAACTTCTTCTGAATAACCAATAGGCCTAGGGTGCTTAAATTTGGCCAGTAACATGCTGGGATGAAGGGATACCAAGTTTGTTCAAATAAATGACCTTGACTTTAATTCAAGGTCACAAGGGTTGAATATGTTAAAAACCTTTAAAAGAACTTCTTTTGAATAACCAAGAGGTATAGGGTGATGATATTGGGCTAGTAGCATGCTGGGATGAAGGGCTACAAAGTTTGTTAAAATGAATGACCTTCAACTGTTTTCAAGGTCACAGGGGTCAAATATAGTTTAAACCTTTAAACAACGTCTTCTGAAAAACCAAGAGGCCTAGGATAATGCCAGTAACATGCTGGGATGAAGGACTACCAAGTTTTTTCAAATGAATGGCCTTGACATATATATATATTCAAGGTCACAGGGGTCAAATATGTTAATAAGCAAAAGGCCAAGGGTGATGATATTTGGCCATTAACATGCTGGGAGAAAGGACTACCAAGTGAATGACCTTCGCCCATATTCAATGTCACAGTGGTCAATATATGTTAAAATCTTTAAATGATTTGTTCTGTATAACCAAAAGGTCCAGGGTAATGATATTTTGCCAGAAGCATGCGGGGTTGGAAGGCTATGAATTCTGTTCAACCTAATGTCCTTGTTCGACATTCAAGGTCACAGGCGTAATATGTTTGAATCTTTTAATAGGTTTTTATGAATCAAACACTGATATTCTGATATTTAAGATTACAAGTGTGAAATCAATACCAGGTGAGCGATGCAGGCGCATTGGGCCTCTTGTTACACACCTTAGTAATCTTACTATAGTTATACAGTCAGTTGTCTGGCCAAGCAACACAAAGTTCTGTATTTTACAATGTGATAAAACAAAACATTTAACCCCTGTAGCCAGAACTCAATTTTGTTTGTAACTCAATTTTAGCGCCATTTCTTACGCTGTGGTTATTTCACACTATTTTTCTGCCCGCATCCCCATTTTGTCTGTGATTATTGTTCAGTTCAAGATTTTGGGACGGAACTTGAACATTGAAACAGGGAAATGGTGAGTTATGTTTTGCTGAAAATATTGTATGTACATGAGGTATGAACAGAAGTGTTTATCTTGCCTCTAACACTAACTGAGACACATCCTCAAATGACCTTAGCTGTGAATAGGACGTCAAACCAAACCAAACAGCCATCTTTTGAGGAGAGTCTGAGGAATCTAGCGGTACAATATTAATTGTGATAATACCAACAGTCAGTGTGATGGTTGTAAATGTCATCTGAATTTAATAGGTTATATAGTGACGTTGCTATAGAATAGTAACATATACTATGACATCACAACCAAATGATGTAATTAACTACAAAATACAGTATATATGAGGCGTTTGATACTAAACTTGCTGTGTGTTTGAGAAAATGAGTGTTTTAGGAAATATTAAATATCCTGTTGAAGCTTGGAATGTTTTTATGTTAATTTTTTTTTCTTTTTCTTTTTATTAGAATAAAGTTAAACAAAATCAAGTCAGTGGATAACAAAGGAATAAAAGTACGAAATATCTCCGTTATTTCTAAAGCATATTCAATTGTTTCTATACATGTTTTATTTCTGGTTACGGGAGCGCTCAGAAACTACCACCTTGCGTCTATTTTTCTAAATTTTCCTCGGGAATTATTTCTTGGGACCCCAATGGCTGGGTTCACAGCACCAACGCTCGCGCAATGCGAATTGTATTTGATTTCGATTGAGCCTAATAGCTGATAGAAAAACAATATCCGATGATGTTGTAGTCTTGAAGACTACAGGGGGTAGTGATGAAACTTGGTCAACATTTAAACTGTAAAAAGACAGAAAGTTTAAGGTTTGGCAAAATATGTGCATGATTAATTACCAGCGTTCTGAAAGGTCCTCACAGGCACTTAATGAAATATTTCTGTATTGTGAGGAAACTGTCAATATTTATGCTACATCTATATAAAAACAAAGGCTTGATTTCAAATTGAAAGTGAAATCTGTAATGAAGAAACAATCCGAAATATAGTTGAGTTTGAGAGTTTAAAATGAATCGATTAGGAGTTTAGGGAAACAATACCAGTGTCTTTATGTTTTGAATTTTTTGACAAAATGAACAAATTCTGAAACAATAAAAAAGGAAAAATATTAAACAATTTATAATGTAGATGTATTGAAAAAGGACGGGTATTGATA